AGAGAGAGGGAAATCATAGAACAAGACAGAACCTTTATCTTTCTTTTATTAATTTCCTTTTTCGTTTTCCTCCGTTTTTAATTCTTTTTTCCTTCTTTTCTTCTTTTTCTTCTCTTTTTTAAATTTTCACTAATTAATTCACGATTAATTCACTTGACAGTTTGACAACACGAGTGAAGCAAGTCACAGGGAATTGTCATTGACAACCATGCAACAACCAATTAACATCGCGGAAAAGCGACAACAATATCAATAACATGCCTTTTTTAGATAGGGATATACGATGTTTAATTATTAACGCTGTTCGATTGTTTAATTATTAACGAATTCCGCGATGCGGATTTTCTCGCTTGGCTTTGTACTGCGAATAGCTGTTAATGCGAAAATCATGTAATATGTATTTTGACAGAGTGTTAACGTCAGATTACGTCTTCTTCACATGAAAAGAATCTTAATGTGCGAATAAGATCATAAATAAATAAAAATTAAAACGAAATAGCGCGCGCAATGCTATTTCCAATAAAGTATCTAATACCGATTTATATTATTATTAAAGTAAATAATTCGATAATCTTCGACCATAATAAATGAAGATCTGCAATTTAGTAATATACATTTGTATACACCAACTATTGAGGTAAAATCTCTAATCTTAGTAATTAGAATTTAAAGTAACAACGATTTTTGTTTCGAAACATTTTCTCGATTCAACAGAATTAATCGTTAATTTAATCAATACCAATAAGTCCGCGGAATAATACGCAAAACGTAGCAACAGTCACGGAACAAAGTAATGTACAATGAAATATTAAGTACGGAATTTTCCATTGCGTAGGCAGGCCAACGAATTCTCAACGTTTTTTTTGTTGTTTTTCACTCGGCGCGGTGACGTACGACGTTACGCGGGCCAATGTTTACCTGCAGGTCGCCGCGCTATCATTCGCTCGCCGAACGTCGTGCCGGCAGGCAGTGGCGAGAGTCGCTCCGTGCGTGGTATTACTTTTGCGTTATCGGTTTCCACGACTCGATCGCGACGAATGTAGGGATAAAACGCTATCGATTTGTACACCTTTATCAGTAACGAGTAACGTTCCTCGATTAATTATTATGTTTCTACTTGTAGTGAGAAACGAATCGCATGTTGAGGCGACGGCTCTTTATCAACGTATACGTAGATATTTCACGAGACTAACTCATCTAAAATATGAATGTAAACCGCGGTACTTTGTCGCGGTTACATCTCGTTTACGCACCGCGCTTTTAATTATCTATCGGTTTCGTGTAATCCGTTCTATTTTCGGGAAAAGAGAGAAATTTAAGCGACTTCGACATTCGCGCTGTAATTCGCTCTGTCGTTCTTCAATATTTCGTGCGTTTTTGCGGGATCTCACATCGCGTATGGCAGTGCTCGAAATTTTGCGCGATCGGTAATTTTCGCGAGTGAGTGTTGTGTAAGTGCCACAAGGAAATCTGAGAGGAGGAGGAGGCCCAGAGGGCATCGGGCAACAACGGAGAAATCGGTGAGGTGAGTGTCTTACATTTTTCTGTTATTTGCTACTTGCAAAATAAAGTATCTGTTCTGTGTTTTTATTTTATTTATTCAAATGATTCGAACGAGGATTCGAATAAGTGTTAGAGACAAAACCATACGTATAAATTTTGTGAGATTATATTTAAAAAGAAGAATTTTTCAGTATTCTATAAAATTATTATAATAAATACCTGTTTTTTAAATATAAAATATAAAGTATATTTAATACAATCATTTCGAGTTTACATAATTAGTCTATAATAATCATGTACGTATTTGTATTTTTACAGTTTAATATATGCAGTTGACGATGTACAACTCTGCTGTTGCAAAACGTATCAGTGAGTGACAAAGTTTTTATTTTAAATTGACGTTGCGCATACAATTACTTCTTTGCGTGTATACAAGTTCTTACAAATATACAATGCTCGACTACAAACTGCGCGCGCGAAGCGCGCGTTTTTTCATTTCTAGCAATGATTAAAAAATTGAGACGGGAAACTTATAGTCAACCCAACTGGCTAGTTGCTTTATTAGTTTACTACAACGTTTTGACCCTATTTTTTTGGGTCCTTATCAAGTGGTACTAATTACAAGTCAGTCATCGTCGTCGAATAAGAAAGAGTTGAATTATAAAATATATGCATGGCATACGTGTGAGCACTGTGGTTGCTGGGCTCGAATTTCAAAAACAGAATTCTTCAAAATGCCATGTTGTCCCACGATTACATAATTTTCAAGGTAAATTTTAAGGGAAAATTTGTCTCCCTGTACCTTTCGCCTTTTCATGGAAGTAAAATTAAAATTGTTCTAAATACATTTCTTTTGTGTACGAAAAAGCGAGCAGAATTGGTGACATAAAAGCAAATACTTTTTAAGATCTTAGAAATGTTTTTAGAACAGAAATGGGAAAAAGAAATCATTTCATAACTCGGAAATTCAAGAAGAATTGAATTCTCTGTGTTATCTGGGAACATAGATTGGTATACAATAGTCATGAAAATAAATACACTCCTTTCATAATAATTCATTTTATTGAACGTCTTAGACAATCTCGTGGTCTTTCGTCGATTCTTTTCAGACGGTTCTGTCCACGTGTCTGCCGTGGCTCGCGTCACAAGCGAATCTTTTTGAAACCACTCTAAGTCTTCGCGAAGGAATAGCGGGCGTGTACGACGAATTGAGAGACGTCGAGCTGAACGACGAAGAGGACGTCGTTTTAGCACACCGTCTGGTGAACCACGACTTCATCCGCAAATTGCTTCGCGCTTCTTGCAAGTTTGCCTCGAGAAACATGGCAGACCTGCTCCGTGCCATTTTGAAGGAGGGCGACAAAACAACATAAGTTTATACATTTAATAATACACGAAAGTAGTACACGAAATAAACTGTTGATAAAAAATAAATATGCCTAAACATGGCTGTGCTTGAAAATTTTTGTCGGTTCAAGTTAAACATTTGTCGCTTTCAGATCAAAAGCGCAAGGTAATACACGAATCGTCGGGTAAAATAATTACAAAAAATTACAATATATCGATCGCTTGCCAAGAAATAATCTCATTAACATTATTACGTATAAAATTGCGCGTATAAAGCCCGCAGACGGTGCTATTTTTCCTGCTGGATTGCTTGCGATTTAGTAAATTAGTACACTCTAAAAATCGGTTCATTGTAAGTGTTTGAATTATAAACATTAAAACAGAAAAATGTTTGACTTATCAAACACAATTAGAAAAGCGCTTGAATTTAAAACACTTATACATATAAGTGATTAACTTTCAAACTTTGCAGAACCTGAAAAAATTGTGTTGCTAGAATCGAACACGAGTCAAATTGAACAGATATGTACGTTTGATTTTCAAACGGGAACAAAATAAAACACAATTTGTGTATGACTATTACAAATTCAAACAGATTTGCATTTCAAGCACTTTCTAATTACACACTTATGAAACAAACACACTTACAAACTTCTAATAAAAACTTTTTTAAGACTGAAAGACTTAAAAAATTTTGACAAACATGTACTGTTTTTTTTTGCAAAACGTAACTCAACGCTTGTTATAGCATTATTAAAAATAAAACATTTAATCTGCATAAAAGTTCAGTTATTCAGAAAATCAAACACTTTTACGTGTGCAATATTATACAGGGTGTCGGATTCGATATGGACGACTCCAAAGATTATAGTAGATTGGGTTAAACTGAGAAGAAAAGTTATATACCATTTTACAAAATCCGTAATTATTATCGCCTAATTAAGAAAAACGTCTGAGCCAATAAGTGCACGGAGGAGCGGAAGACCGGACTCGGCAGACATGCAAAATGGTGTGTTTGTTGACATCTCTCAAGAATCGATAGCGAGAGGTGGAGTCACGCATCGATCGATGAGCGGTGGCGAGCGGGGAGCGGTGAGCGGGCGAACGGCGCGCAGCGAGAGAACGCGCGACATATGACACCGTGCCGAAAAAGTTTTTTTGGTGGTAGGAGAATAATACACCATTATAACTTTTCTTCTCAGTTTAACCCAATCTACTATAATCTTTGGAGTCGTCCATATCGAATCCGACACCCTGTATATCAAACACCAACTTAAACCAAACATTTATAAAATGTTTGAAATTTTGCACACTAATAAACATCTTGAAAACGGCGACAATAAAAATATAAAAAATTTCAAACAGTTATTATTTAGAGTGTATAATTGTACCTCAGGATTTCTAGTAATTTACTAAATCGCAAGTAATCCAGCAGGAAAAAGTCTGCAGCGGGCTTGACGTAAAGTTTCCATTTTTTCGTTCCTCGGAAGAGAGAAACTTCGTTGTTTCGCTATTCGAGATATATCGCGTCGTTGACGTGACTCGCGTAGTACCGCCGTGGTAGCGCCGCGTAGTAGCTACCGGGATCGGCGCCATGTTGATCCATTCGAGGAGCACCGTGGACACGGCAGCGAATCGGTCCCGTGCGTTGGTCGTCGCGTTTCACAGTACGCACAATCGCAGTGAGTTTACCGTTGACCAGTTTAACAATCGCGCGACGTAGACTCGACCCTCGCGCGTCGGTAATCCTTCGAGACACGTAAATCTGGGAAATCCCGGCCGAAATCTCACGCAGGGTCGGCGTCGCTGCGGCGCCGTCGTATCCTCGGGCGCCAGGAGTACACCGAGTTCTCCAGTCTTAATTCGTATCTCCTCGCGCGTGCGGTAATACCCGAGGGGGGTTGAAAATGCAGCCCCGCGAGGTCAAAAGCATCACGAATCGCGCGCCTTTCCTGCCTCTCGCGTGCGCGAGGAGTTGTGGTCGGCGCCGACGGATGGCGCTACGCGGCCCGCCGCGTCGGTATCGCGGGCCACGGGCGGCTCCGCCAATCAGCGCGTCGTTGCGCTCGCGGCCGCGCGCGACAGTCTCTCGCGACGAGATGTCCTCCGCGGTGGAGATTAGCGGAGCGGCTTCTCCGCGCCCCTTCCGCCCTGCGACAAGCGGTCGTCGTGGGTCGTCGTGTGGCGAGCGACGTCATCCACGCACCGTCGTCGTCGTCGTCGTGGTCGTCGGCACGCCCGCCGCGGCGCCCGCGATTCGTCGATGAGCCGCTGGCCGCGCGCCGATAACTCGATAGGAGCGAGACGGCGTGAAAGGGGAGGGAAAAGACGGGGCAGCCAAGCGCGAGCTTCGGGAGCGGCGCGCCCGAATTAACGGACGGCCTCGGCCGTCCTCGCGACAAGGCCGGCTGCGGAGGCTGCACCGAACAAGCACGACGCCACCCGATCCGACGCGACGCGATCACGTGGCCGTCCGTCCGTCCCTCCGACCGACCGTGTTTACTTTGGTTCGTTTATTCGGCTCGCTCGCCCGTCGGTTCCTTCGCCCGCTCGTACGTCGGTTCGTCCGCTCGTCCGGCCCCATATGCGCGTCCGCGAGCGCCGGACTGGCAAGCAGTGCGACGCGACGTCGGCGCGCTCGTCTCGCGCCTTCGGGACGTGACGCCGCTCGGTTGTGCCGCCCCTCGTCCCGCTGCTCCGCTGGGACCCGGATGCTGCGTGTCCACGTCGAGGAGGCAGGGTGACGGTGACGCGGTCATCGCGGCTCGACGACGGAGGTGAGTCGTGTCGACGTGTTATTGTTTATCTGCGACGGATTACGTCAGGCTGGCTCACGTAACAGCTGATGGCGAGACGTTAGGTCGAGAGAGAGAGAGAGAGAGAAGGGAGAGGGTGGGAGACAGAGACCTATTTTTCGTCGGGGCGAAATGTCAAGTACCGCTTCAGATTTAACTTAAACGACGTATTGTTCGCGTCAGATCGGCCTCTATTCATTGCCTCATATGCCATATAGTGTATTTTGACGTATTATATTGCGCGCGTGTGCGCGCCTCTGTGTCTAAAAGTAAATGTTTACGAATGTACACGCGATAATGAATAACCGTGGTAGTTTAACTAATATTTTTATGTGCTCTGTATATTTTTTAATGTGCTCTCATTTTATGCGCTTTAATACAAATGCGTACAGTGATGGACAGAATGTTTGCAACACGTTTTTGTGAGTTTAGGAACGCGCATTTAGATTCAAGTTTACGTCCCGAAACGTTTTCTCCGAGGGAAATTTCACTCGAGGGACAGATCGGAAACGCTCAAAATGGTTTCGGAATGGCCATCGAGTAAAATATTCCCTGGAGAAGGAGATTTTGAGATGTGATGAATTCTAAATGCCTTCCTAAATTCATTGAGGCTC